CATAAATACTAATTCTTGAAACTCCTTCAACTTCTTGTACAATCCTAGAATCTTCCTTTTAATCTATTCAATTTCTTGACAAAAAAAATTCAATCAATAATAAAACATAATTAACATAAAATGAAAATATTAAAAATAAATTGAATAAATATTATACCTTTGTTATAAAATAAATTTGGAATTGATGATGGAATTCAAATTTGATAATGGAAGAATGGAATAATAGAGAAGAGGGAAAGAAGAACAAAAGAGAGAAAGAAGAAGAAAGTGGAGGAAGGAAGAAACACAATGGTTTTGGAAAAGAGAGCGTGCAAGTATAATAGCCAATCAACGACGTGAATATCACGTCGCAATCTTGCCACGTGATATTCACGTCGCAACCCCAACGTTATAACTTTAAAATAAACCAATCAGCAACGTGAATATCACGTCGCAACTTTGCCACGTGATATTCACGTCGCAACTCCTCCGACGATTATTTTTTTAATCTTAATCTACACATTTCAAAATGGTTCAGAATGACATCTTGTCAAAGTTTCCTCTAAATTAGTTGCGACGTGTTTAACACGTTACAACATATTTTTTTGAAATATTTAATCTTTCCTCTTCAAAACGCCTGCAACTTTAATATTTTTTATTCAACTTTTTATGTTGTGACGTGTTTCCCATGTCACAACTTTTATATAAAAAAAAAAACAGATTAGCACAGGCTATGCATTACTTTTATTATTTAATTTATAAAATATTATAGTGACGTTATTATCACGTCGCAACTATTAAATTTTAGTGATATAATAATCACGTCGATGAGAAATATATTTCTTGTAGTGGTATTTAATTTCCCTATTTAAATCAGTAAGGGAAACAGGAGTTTCACGGATATGAGACTGTTTAAATCTGAATAGAACCTCACTTAATTGGTAAGGGGCTTCAATAATAAAAGGAGATTCTTTTTTAGAGTTTTCTTGAATTAAAACTTCAAGCATTTTTCTTTTAAGATTATTATCAGAAATAGATTCAATAGCTTTTATAGCTTCATCTTGTTCTGCAGTAAGAACATTAAGATCGTTCATGTCAACAATAGACTTCCAATAATCTATTTGATTACATTGACAATTATTATTGTCAGAACTATCAGAGGAATAATCTGATGATGATTCATAGATCATGTCAATATCTTCATTAGAAGAATTAGTTTCCGAGTCAGATTTAAGTAAACAAACTTTCTCAAGTTGAGAGCGTAATTGCTCATCCTCGATTTCATTGAGAGCTTTTTTGGTCCAACATTGGTTGGCATGGTGACCATCTTTACCACATTTGTGGCAAGATACATCAAGCATTTTAGCTTTTCTTTTGCCTTTATGATTAAAAGTCTTTTCTTTTGGTCTACTTTTATTAAAGTGACCCTGTTTCTTATTCTTCTTATAAGAGTTTTTATAATTATCCTTATTTTTATGAGGTTTATTCCTGAAAATTTTTCCTTTTTTCTTTTTATTCTCAGGAGATCTTCCAAGATCAAAGGCGAAATGGTCGCAGAATTCACCCATTTGGTGTTTTTGAGAAAGTTTCTGTTTTTTAAGCTGATTTCTAAGCTTAATATCATTACATAAGGTTAATCCTTCATTAACACAAGTACTAATAATTTGACCATAAGTAAGATCAGGATAATTAATATTTATCCCATCATTTTTACTTCTTAAAGAATGTCTAACCTTTTCAGAGAAGAAATGAGGTAATCCATCAATAAATTTGGCTTTCCAGTGGATAGAGTTAGGATTTTTTAATTGATAAACTCTAGATAAAAAGGTATCTTTGTACCATCTAAAATGTGTAAGGGAGGGACATCTTAGATTCTGAAGTAGAGTTTGAATTTTTTCTCCAATAGGGATATTTGTTCCAACAAAATGTTGAAGGATAGAGAGACACAGTGTATAAACCGCATCTTCTTCTCCTGTAGTGGCAATACCACTTGTTCCGATTCCAGGAACTTCGGACTTAACTATTTTCTTATGGTTAAGAATATATTTTTTCTGACTATCAGTGAGATAATGATCCCACCAGCCTCTTAATTGACCAATAAATCCAGTTGATATAAAGGAGGCAATATCTTTGTCAGAATTTTCGTGTTGTTTACAAACAGTAGAATACATAATCATTCTATGTATGGCATCAAGGATTTGTTTGTCATTTAATCCATCAATGTTCCATTCGTAAATGGATTTTCCAGAATATGAATTTTGGAAGGGTTCAGGTTCCTCAAAAAGTAAATCTTGAGGAGAGGGGCGCTTATAATAGTATTTCTCCAAAGGTTTAAAGTTATAAATATGGTTTATTTCATTAGTATTTTGATTACTAATGTCTAAATCAGCAAATATATTTGCTAAATCATTAATGTCTTCTTCATTAGAGGAGTCTTGATCAGACATAACCGTTAAATGTAAATCTTTAAGCTTCCTCTCAAGAATACGAATAAACTCATCTCCGTTGGTTTCCATTTTAAATCCTTCTATAGGAATAGGAGGTTGAATTATAGGTACATCTGAAATATTTGAGGTAGAAGCTTGTTCTTGAAATTTAGGCTTATTAATAAGGTCAATAATAACCTTTTGACGAGCTATTTGTTTGTCTAAAAGGTCTTTTATGGATAAGAGCTCTTTTTCTAGAGAAATAAATTGTTCTCCTAGACAAACAAGGTAGGCATTAGTATAATTATTAGATTTAATTATGGAATTTAACTCCTTAAGAGTAACCTGATTTTGTTCAACTCTTTGTAATTGAAGGGTAAAATAAGGTGTAGCCTCAGTATGAGGACCCAAGCTTATGGTTTGCTCTGGGGAAAAAGGAGATTCCATTTTTTCTCCTTTAATACTTTCCCACGGTTTTTGTAGAACTAAAAGTTCATCTTTTTTCATAAAAACTAATTCTTCTTTTTGTTTACTTATAAAGTAACTAATGAACCATTTGACAAAAGGAATGAAATCCTGGTTCATAGACATTTGAGTATAGTACTCATCTTTAAAGTTAGCTAACACTGGAGCAGGAAAAGTTTTAGAAAAACATTTTCTAAATTGAGCGTATCTTTCATGCTGAAACTCGTCATTGACAAAGTTTCTTAGATTACTACCTGGGGAATAATCTAACATTATAACGGGAAGTCCATATCTGAGGGAGTAGGTGATTCTACTCTAGGAGGATTTGGTTTTTGATATATACCATGGGGAATTTTGTTTTCGCTAAGTCTTATATTCTCAACGACTTCTATTTCTTCTCTTAATTGAGAAGTTGAAGGTCTAGCTAATTGACTAGGAGCAGTGTAAAACTCATCTATAAAATTTACAGAATGCCTTTCAGACATAGATCTAGGTATTCTAATTATTCTTTTAGAGTTAAAGTTTATCTCCAAATCTCCTTCATTAGTCTGGATTATTTGATCAACATCCTTATTAAGGATGGGTTCAGGTTTTATGGCCCGAGGAAGATTCCAGGTTTCTGGAAAATTAATTTCATCCCATTTTAGCAACCTATTAGTTGCAATATTAGATGTTAATAAATTAGTTTGAACTAAAGTAGTTGTTCCAGGAAACGATATTTGTTTAGCTTTAGGGTTTAAAGTGGTAAGAACTTTGTAATAAACCCTGTAACATATAGCCATAATTTCACTTCCAGGTTTAAAATTGTAACCATTGGTATGAATAGTTAATTGAAGAGCATCTAATAAATTTTTATCAGACATAGATAAGCTTATATTGGGAGAGACATCAAAATAAACTGGTCCATGACACAGGCTTGTCTCAATTAAAGCAGCTAAAGATTGTTTAAAATCTTTACATTTACCATCTCTAATATATCCCAGAATGCTAGTATTTAATCCTAGCAAAGTTAAAGGTTTAACAGCCACTTGTATTAAACCAACATGTATATAATTATAATTTTTAAAAGGAAGTAAATCCTTTTTTGTTAAAAGTTTGATTGTCTGAGTACTTTCAGAAATTTGAATAGTCTGTTCTAAGCTTTTAACAGCAAAACGAGATAATATATTTATTTTGCCAAATTTATAAATTTGGTTTGAAGGTACTGATGGAATTGTCCATTTGTTAAGTTTATCCATTTTTTTTGGATATTCTATAAGTTCTTCATGTTTAATCAAACCGTTTTGATGATTATCATCAGAATCCATAAATATGACAGGCTAAGGATGTTCTGGCTGATTAGCTATCTTAGGTAAAACTAAGTAGGTAAATATAACTCTTAATCTTAATACAAATATATCTAAGCAACAACTGATAAGTCATCTTTGCAAATAAAACTTTGTTTAACTATCAACCCTAAGGGATAGAAGGATCTCTCCTAAATCAAAGATGTCCAATGTTTTTTAGCAAAAATTTTCTTTTCAAATTCCTTTTGACACTCCATTCTCCGGAAAAACGATGAACATAAGAAAACACTAAAAAACCTCTTTAGTTTTAAAAAACCCTTATTACTTGTTGCCATGATATATTTTTATTAATCTCAAGAGAAGAACCTACATACTTAGTTTCTTCTAAGTTATCTAACCTTCCACAACAAAAATTTTAGCCACTAAATGACATTTATTATTAGTTGGACAAAGAAATATACCTTAGTTTTGGAACCATATATATATATATATATATATATATATATATATATATATATATATATATATATATATATATATATATATATATATATATATATATATATATATATATATATATATATATATATATATATATATATATATATATATATATATATATATTGTAAAGAATCAATTCCCTAGAAGGTGTACAAGAATTGATGTTAAAAATACAATTACACAAGGAACAAAAGACTAAACCCACCACACATAAAACAAAAAGATGCATAACAAGAAGAAAAGCTGCAAAATTGCATATGAAAATATACAAAATTGCCAGTCATCCATTTATTTTTCACACTGATAATAACATAAACTGTTCAATGGTATTGAACATCTTGAATCACTTGTCATCATGTTTGGTGAAGCTCAACGGTATTTCAAAAGGACTATTCTCAAAAGGTCTCTCACCAATCCAGTTGCCTGGAGGATCATAGTTACAGCTAATAATGGTGCTACGACCATTGCTACACTTCACCCTAGCACAACCAAGACGAACCGAATCGCGCCACACAACTTGAGTATAATGCAAGCACTCACCATTAAAACAAGAATTTGAATCGTAGTCATAGTTTTGTATCTCATCGACCCACATATCGACAGCAGCTGTTGCAGTAAGGTCAGGACTGCCCCAAGCTAGATTTTCTCCATATTGGCCTCCAGAGTGCACTAACTGGCAATTTCCTTTAAGTTGGTTCACATAGTTCTTTGCAAAAGATGCAACGTTTGCATCCCATGTTATAGGACCAACACCTACTTCGGAACGTGCTCGGTTGTGAGCGTTGAGGTAGTCTTGTGGTGAGTTTTGAGCATATGTGGTATGCGTTAGTATGAATAACACAGCCATGAGAGGGACAAACATTGAGATCATTGGTATAATTGTGGAGAAAGGTTATTTGAACTATTGATGGTTGGTGTTTAGTGACAATATTATAAGTCTATTTATAAGAGATTTTTTGTTAGATGAACTTAAATTAGTAACTTAAGTTTGATTTTTCTAATGTGTCCAATTTGCACACGATAAGGATCATGAATAATTTTTTTTCTTTTTTTCTAACTTAATTTTAAACATTATCAAAAATGCTTTGTAAATAATACACAAATCAGTTTAACAATCTTTTAAATGAAAGAAAAAAAAGATATTTTTTTAAATTACTTGCATATAGGGGTTAGTCATCTAAACGTTACACTTGCATATATACTATGTATATAACTACGAAGCTTAGCAGCCTATGACATGTTCTACTATTAGCCGCCACATTAATTGAATGCGATATAGCTACTTGCTAATGTTTACTTTATTAAAATATTTTTTATTTTATTTTTAAATTATGCATTCTTTTAACTTATTAACAGAATGGTGTGATTATTTTAAAATAATCATCATATTAAAACGAAGATTAAATATTTACTAAGAATAATACATTTATGAAAATAAAAATATATATTTTATTGTTTCTGAAAAATATAAACAATTGTTATTACTCAAATGATCCTAAATAATATCTCCTGTTAACTATTTCCTCCGCTCATTTTTAATTGTCATTTTAACTTAAAACTCTTCAATCAAGATAATAATTATTAGATTGTTTTTTCTATTATATCTCTATTATTTTTTTTTTCTAAATAAATTTAATTTCTTTTTTAATAATTAATTGAAAAAATAATTATTTATAAAAAATATAAAATAAAATAATTGAAAAAATAAGAATATAATTAATAAATTATAATATTAAATTATAAAATGAGATTTAAATAAAAACAATAAAATTCTTCTATAAAACGGTACATAAAAAGAATAAGGGAGTAGTTTTTAACAAGTGAATCATCATGTTTTATACCAAAAGAACAAGTGGATCATGTAGTTAATTCATTTTCAAGAAAGAATGTTCATTGGTAGTGTTTAACAATGACTAAGTCATCAATTAATCTAAACACATAATGATAATATTATTAATCACTGATTTCAAAATTTCTTACCCACTCTTGGTGATAATATTTAATTCAAATTATCTACTAGTTATTAATTAGGAAGGTGGTTTGATTGGCCATAAGTCGTGTTACAAGGACATATTTATAAAGGCTTGGTTGCGCTAATTTTGAATTTCTTTACTTCTTTTTCTTCTGAAAAAACAATTTTTGTGATAGTTTTTTCCTTAAAAAATAATTACGTTAATATTTATTTTTTCTTTTTTAAAAAATGATTTATTTATACAATGTAATATTTATTATTTTTCTAATTGTATTTATTGAATGTCACTCATTGGCTTAAGTTAGGAAATAGTAATACATTATATTTTCATGCTTCCCTTTAGGCTAACATAATGCTTGCAGTATGAATCTCTTATACAAAGATGATGGCACTCAGATTCACACACATGTAGATATAGAAAAGGAAATTTTGGAGTTTTATGGAGGATTAATGGGTATTAAAGAAGAGAGCCTGAACCACATTGATATTACTGATATGAGGAGGCGTCTCAGCTTACTATGGAGCAGAGGACTATACTCACTACACCTGTGAATGAGCATGAGACTAAAACTGCCCTTAAAGATATAGGTGATTTAAAAGCTCTCAGAGTTGATGGTTATGGAGCTAAGTTCTTCAAAACCAATTGGAGTATCATAAAAGATGACTTGATTGCTGCAATCAAGGAGTTATGTAAAGGTAAGAATCTTTATAGAGCTTTTAACAACATTGTGGTTACTTTGATTTCCAAACATTTTGAAGTTAAGAATATTAAGGACTATAAACATATTACTGATTGCACCACTTTCTACAAGATAATCTCCAAAATTCTTACTGCTAGACTAGGAGGGGTCCTTGGAAGTATCATAAGTCAATGCCAGGCTGCTTTTGTGCCAGGCTAGAAGATCCACAATCATATCATGTTGGCTTTTGAGCTTCTTAAGGGCTATTCTAGAAAAGGTGGGACACCTAGATGTATGATACAACTAGATTTGCAGAAGACATATGATATGATGGACTGACATGTCTTAGAGGGTATTCTTAAGGAGATTGGTATGCCTAGAAAATTTATAAATTAGATTATGTTGACTGCGTCAACTGTTTCTTACAAGTTCAATATTAATGGAGATTATACTGATATTATGGCAGATATAAGAGGTATCAGACAAGGTGGTCCCTTGTCCCTTATTCTATTTGCCATCATCATGGAGTACCTCAACAGGGCCCTCCACAAAATGCAAAAGAATCCAAATTACAACCACCATGCCAAGTGTAAAAGATTGCAGATCACAAATCTCACATTTGTTGATGATTTATTGTTGTTTGCCAGGGGTGACTATAGATCAGTGGAATTGATGCAACATACCCTAAATACATTTCTAGCCTCAATCGGTCTCAAATTTAATCCAACAAAAAGCAAAATGTATTTTGGAGGGGTGGAAGATGGAACTAAGGAGGAACTTCTCAATCTGACTGCGTACAAGGGGGGTACTTTACCTTTTAGGTACTTTCGTGTTCCTTTGACCAGCAAGAAGTAGTCCATCTTCCACTACATGCCTTTAGTTGACAGGATAATGGGGAGAATTACTCACTAGAGTGCCAGCTTATTGAGTTATACTGGAAGAGTTCAACTCATAAAAAGTGTGGTATGTGCTATTTCCAACTATTGGCTTCAATGTTTCCTGTTCCCTAAGTATGTCATTCACAAAATTGAGGCAATATGTAGATATTTTTTGTGGACCAGTGATTCCAAAATAAGTAGGAAAAATCCTGTAGCATGGAAGAAGATTTGCAAACCTAAATCTCAAGGAGATCTTAATATTCTTAAGATGGAGTAGTGGAACCAGCATTACATGCTAAAATTACTGTGGAATCTGAGTGCCAAAACTAACAGCATGTCAGTTAGGTGGATTCATGCTTACAACTTACGCGAAGATGATCTGATGGATATCCAAATGAAGGTGAACGATTCATGGATTATGAAAGGTATTCTAAATCAAAGAGAGATGGTGGGGGCTGCGCAGGGACTGTGGAACCAAATGCACCAATTGAGAAAATTTAGTTTGAAGAAGATGTACATTGGGCTAATTGTTAATGAACCTAAAGCCCCATGGATAAGCCAATGTTTTACAACAAAGCTAGACCAAGGGCCCAAATGTTGATTTGGCTTGTGTGTCATGGTAAGATAGCTACTAAATCGAGAATACATAATTTTGATATGGTTGATAATGTTCAGTGTATATTTTGTGCCAAAGATGAAACGATTAATCATTTGTTTTTTGGTTGTACTGAGTTGAGAAACATATGGTCCAATGTTGCAAGATGATTCAAAGGAAACTTTCAACATGATGCAAGATGATTCAAAGGAAACTTTTAACATGAAAGTTGCAGATCTCAATGAGATCTAAAATATTTCTTTACACAACTTCTCCTAGAAATGCATGGATTTAAAGTTATGATTTTGTGAATACATGTTCATGAAACTTGGAAACTTAGTGAAATTTTGCCCTAGTTTAGGCAGGATTTTGACCTAACTTCATGGCAATTTTTCACATAGTTCCGAGGGAAATTTTCAAAAGTGATTCAAAGAGGGGTTGTAGAGCACACTACAAGATTTCTAAAATGTCCAAGAACTCATTGAGATCATGTTTGAGCAAGGAGAATCGAAGGCATGAAGTTGGCATTTCATTCTTGAATTATAGGTCAATTTCATGATGAACAAGAATGCAAATCCCTGCTAGGCTGCACAATCTTTGCTTTGCAGGCCTCAAACTTGTTTGGCACTCCATAATTAAATGTTTGCAAAGATGTTAGAGGCTTCAACTCAAGCATTCAATGCATTTCCCATGCTTAATTCCATTTTTGAAAGAAAGCGCACATTGCCATTTTGGAAAAGTAGCTTTTATGCATAAAATAAGTTCTTGAGCTTTGCAATTGTTTTCTTCTGATCACACACAACCTATAACCCAAAAGAAACTTGTTTAAAGTCTCAAAACAACTCATCCCATGTTTGTACTTTATCTTGAAACTACATTTTCATTTTTCTTCAAAAACAAGCAAAATCCCAAAACTTGTATGTGTGTGATTCTGACCCTCTCAAGTGCTAGAACTTTTTCCTTACTTATGTACAAGTTATTTGCATCAAAACAGACGAATACACAAGCTCCAAAACACACAAAAACTCAGAACTGCATCACAAACCACCATTGTTACATATTCTGACCAAGAACTTCAAACTTTCATCTCACTTGTGCGTTTCTTGGCCTTTTGCTTCCAAAAGCTTCCAATCATCATACATAATCCATCCATATCCCTGTTACACGACGGTAACACCATCTTCATCCATTTCCAAGTTCAAAAACAGAGCATCACAGTTGGACTTCTCCAGACCATTCCAGCCACCTTCAGCTCAAGCCAGCCATTACATTAGCTTCCTAGAGGTCCAAGGAAGCTAACCTGGTCATCACCATCACTTGAAATGAGCTCAAACTCATTTCACGATTTCCAGTTTTGAGGTATTTTTCTTGAACTTCTATCTCATTATTTAGGCATTGTTAGACTTGCATTTGTGAAGATATAATATAGATATCATTGCCCTGAAACTATACATGTCCATATATTTCATTTATGTTGCTTGAGCATGGAGAATTTTGAGTTTAAACTTGCTGAAAAATTTAGGTCATAATTTGTTACTTTCATAAATTCATCCTTATCTTTGAATGTTAGCTTAAATTAGTTATATGGTTGGATTCGTGGTGAAAAAGTACACAAGTTTCATGTTTACATTTTTGAAAATAGTTGAAGAATGAGCAAGTTACAGATCCTTTGGCTGGAGGTTGAAGATGAAGTACAGTCATGGCAAGTTTTATGTTATGTATTTATTTTTGTGCCAATGTTAACGA